CATTCCACAAGGGTCGTCCACGGTCGTGTGGAGTGTATCTAATATGAAATGGAAGTGTGTCCCGTGTTAGGGGAGTACTCCAACACGAAAATAACTCATGAGTTTTATTCGTTGATAGTACAGATGTTCATGTAAATTGTCCTATCCTACCATACTTTCCATAAATGTTCTGTGACAGTCAAAGATCGTTCCGCTTTCTATTCAACTTAAATTTCGTTTTATGTTCATTTGACATCATCCGTTTCATGTCCTTGGCCTCGATATAGTCGTTCGGTTAATTTACAAGATATGAAAACAACAATTTTTAAATTTTAGGCGTCCAATGCCGAAATTAGAGGGAACACATAATATTAATTACTAATAGCAAAGGTAAATAGAAATGACTTACACCAAGAAAACATGACCAAGCTGGTGCATCTACGGGTTTTTGATCCTTTACATCCATTACAACGTAAAGAAGAAGCTATCACGATAAAAACCAAACCGACCCAACTACATGCTCCAATTGAAATATAAAACACTGTATCAAGCATATCTGAAAGTAAAGAAATGGAGGTTCATCGATGTTGAAGTTACCTGTCGGCTTAGTTTAACCGTTTTTGCAATTAGTAATTATTTGCCCTGTTCATACATTATCTCATTCCAAGTCATATAACAGACATCTTGATGAGTTCCGTGGTTGCCTAAATGTTTTTTTTTTTTGTTTCTGTTTTTTTTCCTCTCTAATATACAAAGAAATAAACAGCAATTTAAGCGCTATTTTGTCACTATCGGGTACACTGCTCTACACTTGTTGACGTTTTTCTTAGCTTAACATACTATATAGACACATGTTAATTGTTGAAGACTGTATTTTGACATCTGGATTTCTATTGTCTTTTTTTTGTCACGTTGACGTATATACTTAAGATGTTCTTTCCCAGGAAAAGCTCAGCTTAGCTGTATTTGGCAAAAACTTTCGGAAATTTAAGTCCTGAATGCTCGTCAACTTCATGCTTTTATCTTTTTGATTAGAGTGTCACTGATGAGTCTTTTGTAGACGAAACACGCGTTTGGCGTACCAAATACTAGCGTTCGCAAAGAATAAACGTTCCCGCTAATAAAATAAAAGGTTTACAAGAAGTATTCTTATACACACTGAACCGTTCTATTTAAAGAACCAAAATATATTTGTATAATACAATTGTAGTAAAGTCCTTATCTTTGGTACAAATTTTGCTTTTTTCAGGATCTGGCAAATATGATAATCTTTCGAATGCAAATCAAGCTATGTATTTTGTTTGCATGTTTTAAGATTAAAATTTATTTTAGTAAATATTCAGATTTACTTGGTATCGGGTGAATTATTCCTTTAATTTTTTTTTATTGCAACCGTAAAACACAATTTAAGTATTTTTTTAAGATTAAGACACATACAACTGACACTGACGCGATACAGGATCATCATGGTAACTGCCTTAAAATTTTATTAATGAAGAATTGTATATTTATTTCAAATATATTTTTTTGTGTTAATTATCAAATGCGCGGCATTGTGAATAAAAGAAGTAATAATTAAAAGAAAATGTTTTCACCTTTTTCGATCTCAGATTTTTATTTTTCGAATCTAGAATTATATTGAATAGTGCTTAATTATGTCAATGGCAAAGTTTTCTAAACATTGTCTTTAAACAATCAAATATTTACTTTCTTGAATTTCTTACATTATATTTGTTACTTTCAACATTTGAAATTGTAGTTATGGTTTCATCATAAATATTTGAAATCGCGTCTTTCTAACTATACAATTAGATATATGTAATTTCCCGTTAATTCAGAGATTGTAATTATGATACAAAACATTTAATCAAAGAAAAAAATAGTCTTTGGTATAATGCAAGGTCAAAGACGCCACTATACAAAGCTGTAAAATCTTCTACAAGTAAGAACATATTGTATTAAGGAAATGGACCAGAATTGGCACAACATAGTGATTAAATATAAAAATGAAACCTCAAAGTATTCCACATTTATCAACGCCGGTTTAAATCAGACGCACTTTTCTTATCTTCTATTCAGCATTATAACGGCATATTTTTTTTTATTGAAATAAGATATCAAGAAGGCTTTCAAAAACTATGAATCGAACGAATACACACAATGAAAAAAAGGGAAACGATAATAAATAAAGGCAACAGTAGTATACCGCTATTCAAAATTCATAAATCGATTGAGAATAAAACAAATCCGGGTTACAAACTAAAACTGAGGAAACACATCAAATATAAGAAGTGAACAACGACACAACAGAAACTGAACACTAAAATGCAACACACACAGAAATAAACTATAATATAACAATGGCCATTTTCCTGACTTGGTACAGGCCATTTTAAGAAAAAAATGGAGGTTGACCCTGGTTTTGTGGCTAGCCAAACCTCCCGCTTTTATTTCAATGTTAAATATAACATTAAAATGACAAGATTACATGACAGGACTACAATACAAATAAATGGGAGAATATACAGGACTAAAATCAGACAATAAACTAAATAAAATATTGTAGGAAGTCGTAAAACTAAAAATCGTCCAGTATAATATTCCCCTAATACACAGGGATGCATATATGTATAATAACACCAAAAACTGTCCCTCTACAAAACTATAACGATATTTAATTTATGTTTCAAGTTATCGAATTCTGTCTGGACTAGTATTTTCCCAGAGAAGAACAGTTGTAACAATGTTAAGGTCACCAGTAATTCCATGGTCAGTAGGATTATCAATGAATGTGGCAGTTGTATAGTGCGGAGCAAGACTTGTGGTCATGAATGCTGAAACCCTGAAACACTACCTCGTTGATGAAAATCTTTATCGCTATATGTATAGTAATGCTTTGGAATAAAAGATATAATACATTTTTTAAGTGATTTATAAAAAAGGATATTACCCCAATTAATGAAACAAAGCAAACTTTTGGAAAGGAACGTTTTATTTCGTATCATCTTTCGGTTGAAAACAAAACTTTACGACAAAAGAGATGATTTCAGCTTCCCAATTGTGAACTTTCCATTTCTATGTAGCAACATTCCAGCAGCGCCTGCATACAGAGTATATATCTCCAAGTTGATACGATATTCCCGGGCTTGTATTTCCTATTATGATTTCCTTGATATAGGGTTGCTGCTCACAAGGAAGCTATTAAACCAAGAGTTCCAAATGGTGAAGTTGAAATCATCCCTTCGTAACTTTTACGGACGCCATCACGAGTTGGTTGACCGTAATGGATTAACCGTTTCACAGATGATATCGGATATGTTCCTTATGTCGTAATTACAATCCACTTCCTTTTTCACCACGAATGTGACCTACCGAATTAGGCTATTTACCGGATTTGTAATAACATGAGCAACACGACGGGTGCCACATGTGGAGCAGGATCTGCTTACCCTTCCGAGGCACCTGAGATCACCCCCAGTTTTTGGTGGGGTTCGTGTTGCTTAGTCTTTAGTTTTCTATGTTGTGTCTTGTGTACTATTATTTGTCTGTTTGTCTTTTTATTTTTTAGCCATAGCGTTGTCAGTTTATTTTCGATCTATGAGTTTGACTGTCCCTCTGGTATCTTTCGTCCCTCTTCTTAATGCATAACAGTTTGAGAGGTCGAAATAGGCAATATATAAAGATAATATCTGTACGCTTGTGTTAATATCAAACAGGATTATTCACATCCAAGTTTTTGCAAACAATATCAGCCAAAAAGGTGTTCTACAAGGATCACAAGTCCTTCATCTTTCATTTGATAAATACATTATCAATATATATTCTACATAGTTTTCTATTTACACCTATGCGTAGGAACCATATGGTTTTAAATATGTACTACTTTCCGGTATGTTCTTTTTGACCGGGTCAGAGTTTGTGGTGATTCATCTTACAAAGTCTACTCGAATTATTTGCCCTATAAATACATTGTTCATGCAAAGCTATCTAACATATATATCGATGTGCCCCGTGGTTTTCTCAATTTATGTATTGGTTTTGCACGTTTCAGTGTGATTGTCAGGCTAAATTATGACAGGAAATGTTTCATTTCTTTGCCAGATTTATTTTATTGATATGGCTTTGTTCTTCAATTCACAGTTGTGGTGTGATCGTCAGTTTGCTAAGAATTCCGCTCAAACCAGTACTACGGATTGTCTTAATCTTGGAAGTGAGGTGAGAGGTTTTGTTACATGTTGAAGGCTTCATTGTGACTTTGAGATAAAGGCGCTGTTCCTTTACTTTTTATGTTTTTTGCTGTGCATATACTTTTTTTTCTATCATGGATGGATACCCCATATTCCTATTTTTTTATTATATAGTGTACATACTACTTGGCTTTAACACAGGAAAGTTTTCTAATAATTTAGGCATCATAACAATAAATGATCAAAACTAGTGTTTGTCAAACTGCTATATATCCAATGAATTTTTTTTCGATAAAATGTGTGGTAAAAGTTTTTTGAAATTTTTATATTTTTGTCAAACGAGCCAAATTATTTTAGTCAAGGTGTTTGGTACCACCTTATAAGAAAATATTTCGTCTAAAAACATAATAGAATATATAAGAGAACTTTTTGCAGTCACTAAAGAAATGTAGAAAAAAAAAGTATCTGTATTTTTAAAGTTGTGTCATTCAAATAGTTCGTAAAAATAAAAGTCTACGTCTTGCACATGCATACTTAAAGTGCTTATACATATATGTATTAATAGTACCTGAAAACATGTCTGTGTTTGTTTATGTTTTTTAGTATATTATCTGAATAAAGTATTAAAGTGTGCTACTCACTAGGAGAGCTCACTCCTATGGTATACATGTGTTGCATTTTATTATTGAATAAATAATTTATGTTCGGTTAAGCTTGGCGAATAAGAACATAAATATGAAAAGGCATTTTACTACATCGCATCTGTAGTTTAAAAATACAATTAATATTTCTAACTCTTTTTTTCATAGCTCTATTATTATCATTATTACTTACATTTAAGATTTGGGAGAATTTCCACAACGTTGTGACAGCTGGTATCATTCTTAGTATTGTAACAATATCGCCTTAAGCCGAGATGATATTCTTTTGTCTTTATCCATTCGTTTGTAAACAGGCCACACAAAAGGCCAGCCTCAATAAACAAATATCCAATTATGACTAAAACTGCCAGTTTTTTCATAAATTCCATTAGTCTTAATTTATTAGCCAACTTTAAAAAGTCCAAATTGGCGCTAAATATTGCTACTTGTATTTAAGAACTTCTCTAGGAACGTTTATAACCAGGTGTGACCCTAGTATTTAATACACGTCACATAATATTTTGAAAAGAATAAATATACAGTTATGAAAACTTATCTGATCATACTACTTATCATTAGACATTTTCAAAAAGTCGTCTATACGGATATGTATACGGACACTAGTACCAAACTCTGTCTGATATACAGAGGGGCCGTATCAAAATGTTGAAATATTCTGAACTAATATTAATTGGATTTCCATTTAAACTTGTCAGAAAATCAGTTTCAAAAACATATTGAATGTTTTCTAGACCAACTTTTCAGTTTTGTGAGAGAAAAGAGGGGCTATGCAATTGTAAAATTGCTGATTCCGTTAATGAAATCGTATGTTTTTCAAAATACAGTATCACTTCGCTTTCTCCTAGTCTAGCTCTCAATTGTTTTAAGTTTCTTCTTTTTTTTTAATTTTCATTTCGCTGGGTAGAAGCAAACTGCACAAAATAGACAGTGCAGTATAGGCCAATGGTAAAATCAGGCAAAATTGTAAGTTGAGAATAACCTATTCCAACTTTTGAATATTTATCTATGATCGTATAAAATAATCATATAGAAAAATGTTGCTTTAGGAAATATTGCTTTAGAAAATATTTGAATACAGATCTTGTAAAAGGACCATAATTTTGGAGATTTTTTTTCCCTAATTCAACCACAAAATTATATCTAAAACGCAACTATTTTTTGATTTACTGAAGATTCATTTAATAGTGATACTACTTTTAATTCTGCTAAGAGATGGATTTTTTAGAACCCAAACATTTTTTTTTCCAAATTTATCATCTACAATGAGTGGGCTGGATTTGTTTATCGTCAACGTCAGTTGTTCTCATGAAAAAAGTATCACATCATCTATATAAGTTATGATTCACATCATAAAATGCTTCACACTTTCCTGTTTTTGTTCTGCTATTTTATTTTCTCCTTTTCCTAAATTTTTCACAAGGAACATTTTGAGCATCAGGAAATTCCATTTTTAATGAACAGACAGATAATGTAGTAGTTATTTAAAGGAATAAATCATTGAAATAAATAAATGTTTTATATAGTATCTAAAATATTATTAACCGATCATGTAAATAACTATGATCATTTTAAATCTTGAGATAACCCCTCTTCAATAGGTTGTTTCAGAACATGTCCTATTTAAATGCTTATTTAAATGTTAATAATAGTCTTTTCTCCAAAAGCAATATATAAGATTTAGATATACAAATATAATAACATCAGTGATTATACACATACTTGTTTTACAATTACAAATAAATTTGATCCATTGAATTATCAGCGGAGAAGGAAAACACTTATTATAAATAATGAAGTACAGACATTATATTATCAATAACGAATCTGATTAGTGATATACAGTTTGTTAAACTCTTCGATGTTATGAACAGACAATAATTTCATAAATCTATAACAATTTTTTTTTTAATACAATGGTTTTATATATATTTTTTACTGTTATCAAAATATTTGCCACATACGTAAATATAATTGATTTTTATCACACATATTACAAAATTGGTGTTGTCTTTCAATTAGCAAATCTACTGTGTTTAATAATTTACAACCAATATTTAAGCATTCTGCAATATCTCTTTATATACAAAGTGTATTTACCAAACTAAATATATACCATGTAATTAACAGTACAAGTTTGAACTTTTAATATACTTTTTAAAAAGCTGAAGTTAACTTGCTCAATATTTCAGCTTTGTGTGGTTTCCTGACTTCACAATTTTAACTTAATATACTTGATACATATGTGTCAAAGAAGATAACACAGTTTCATGGTTAAATCAGTCGTCATGTATTTTATTATATAAACTAAATATTGCTTTTCTACCCTGGATTGCTAACATTTTCTGTTTATACACAAAATTACCATTTTATAAAAGATTATATAAAATACCACATAATTGAATTGATTCACCATTTAAATACCATATTTCAGTCGCTTTAGTTTGGCTTATAACACAATAATTTTGGATGTACAAATGACACTTTCTGGAATATATGTCATCACATATCTATCAGTTTTTGTTAACATCAATTGTTCCACTAAATTACACTATGTCATCTGCATACATTAGTAAATATGAATATAAATTAACCATCTTCAACTCATATGACTGACAACCTTGACTTAATTTCATTGTCAATGATATACAAAGAATATAGAAAAGGGAATAAATATTATCCTTGCATCAGACAAACATTACTTTGGAAGAAATAGGGAAAAAATACATGTGTTTCCTTTTTAACACAGCATTTAATTTGGGCATATATAGATTTATATATTTATATTTAACAGTGACACCACTCCTCATGAAGTCTTAACCACAGTTTGAAATGGGATAAACTTTCAATTTTTGTTTATAGTATTCAACAGCAATAAAAATCTTTCCTACGCAAAGACTTGGAAATTAGGGAATGGAGTGCGAAGATGTCATCGGTTGTTCCATAATCTGGTCAAAATCCAAACTATAAATTGGTAATTATATTTTGTCTTTCGCTCTATGTGTTAAACCTGGGTTAATAATTGATACGAATAGTGTACCCACATGCGATACAAGAAAAATATCACGATAATTGCCTGGGAACCGATTGGTCCTTTTTTATAAACTGGAATAATAATAATATTTTCAATCGTATACCTGGAAAATCATCTGCAACAGTTAACACATGATTGGCTTGATAAAATTCCTGTTCATTAATATCTCTTCATTCATTGTATTCATTATATTGTCATATCCTGTAGATTTCTCAGGTTTTAAAGACTTTATAGTCTTTTCAAGTTCTGATTCTGTGAATGGGGAGTCCTTTTTTCATAAACGTTCCCGAGAGTTATATTGCTATTAAGATCTTCCTTAGTGACATCTTTCCAAATCAAGTTTTAACGTGTTTTTTTTAAAATTTAAAATCGTCTACAATAAGGGTTTGAATAATAATTTTTTTTCGCTTTTTAAATGTCCTGAAAAATTGATTTGGATTAGTTTCTTTGGTAATCTAGACAACATATTGCTTGTTGAATTTGATGCTGTCTTTTTAGTCGAGCGTTCAAGCGTTTGTAATTTTTTTTTTTTTTTTTTTGGTAAGTTAAAACGTAGTTTCGACTGGTATTTTTTTTTAAATTCTTTGTAGCTCGCAGATAATCTTTATAAAAATTTTACATTCTTCTGTGAATAAACTCATAGATACCAGGATTACATTTTTTACGCCAGACGCGCGTTTCGTTTAGAAAATTCTCATCAGTTACGCTCGAATAAAAACAAATTCAAAGGCCAAACCATGGTTTAACCTTATTTTGGTTAATTTCAAACCATTCGCAGTGCCGGAATCACATTTCTATTTTATATTTTATTTCTCTCCTAGTGTATTGTTAAAAAATATCTGTCAAAAGTTTATTCAATGTATCAAATATCGCTAACTTGGTCTCTATTTGTAATTAAATGTTCAAACATTTGAGGGTTAACAAAAACTATCTCTGTTTTGATCTCCGCACTCCTCGTTCAATTTAAAAATATCAAAAACGAGGTTACAACAATTACACTGGTATTTTTTACCTGTATTATTAATAAGGTCAAAATCAACTTTAAATGGTGCATAACAAGAAAAATGATTAAATGAGCAAACATAAAATGTATTTATAATACTAAACATATTATTTTGTGAAATGAACATATAGTCCATTACACTACACCCATTTGTATTGTTAAATAATATTTTTATAATTTTTTTTTTACAAAATTAACCGATACGAACGCGTAGCCCAAAGTTTTTACAAAATTGTAGGATGCATTGATCAAAACTATTTGCTGTTTTATTATCTTCCGAGTATCTGTTTAAAAATGCATCCTCCTTTACAGGATTAATGAATGAAATATTGTCTTGTAAATGTTTGTTTATAACATCACCTGTTATGTTGTCGGGTTCTAGACCAACAGGGCCGTTTAGATCACATATAATAGCCCCATTACTAATATCAGAGAAGTTCTATATGTTCTTGTAGATTTTCAAAGACATCAATGTCATTTTTACGATAGTACACATTTGTATCTGGATGCATATATATAGAACACACATAGAAATCAATATTATTACGCATAATACTTTTATTAATTTCAAACCAAATCGTGCAATCACCTTGGGCTGTTTTCTGGTCTTTGGTCGGTTCTCTAATCTAATCAACACAGCCCTTAACAAAATAAATAAATGGATTTAACCATTTTTTTATAAACCATAATTACACCTCCACCGTTACTTTTACCCTGACGTATTCTTTTCCATTACCCAATATATCGAATTTTTTCGGACATTTAACCCCACATTCATTTGAATACAATACATCGAATTTGATCACTATCTGCAAGAATTTGATATCTTTCAATTTTCTTAAAAAACCTTTTGAAATATTCCATAAACATAAGTTAAATAATGCACTATTATGAGTCTCTGGTTTAAAACAGTCTTGTATGAAATTAGTCTCCGAAGACCCCAATCTATGCCATACGTTGCCGTTTCTTCAAACATTTGTTTTTTTCCAACACATATTCGGAAAATGCGGACTTATACCAAAAAGTGTTTTCTTCAGGCGGTTTGAAACACTATTTACATACTCGCGGTCAGACATTTTACAAAATTTAACAACAATTTCTTCTTTTACCACTATTTTTTCGAATTTTTCATCTAACGCATAAACAGATGATTTTGTTTCAGACTTTGTTTCTTTGTTTTTTCTATTTTATCGCATATTTATTATCTATTGGTCCGTTTTTGTTAACTCGATACCACTACTGAGAAAGTATTACCTTTTCTAAAGAGCTAAATGTTCGTCTGTCACGTCTATGACGTTAGATTTTAGAAATGGGTGCAATTATGTTGTTTCTCCATCTGTTTATATTTTGTGTTTTTTTTATCTAAATAAACTCATCATAGATACTAGGATAATTTTATACGCCAGACGCGCTTTTTTCGATTTTGATAAGGGTATTAACTTTTTATTTCAACTCTTCTCATACTTTATTTTTACAACGCACATGCATCAATCCCTAATGAATTAAGGGGTTGTACCCTTTGATTGTGAGGGGTGATGTCGTGTACGGCAAACAGTTTCAGAAAGGCTGTA